ATTACTGACAAAATTTGATATGGCCATCTATTGGCCATATTGTTATTCTGGTCAGTCCCAAAATGTGGAACATTGCACAAGGAAGCTAGAGTAATGATCTATCCAGAACAGCAATAGGAAGATTAAGGACACAGATACCGTATGTTGTCTTTTCTAGATGAATTATCATATTTGCACAATTTCATCTAAAATAGCAAGGACACCATTCTTTGTATGAAACATTTGAAATAGCTAGTCATCAAAACCCTATTTGACAGTACACCATATATCATCATATACCAACATATATGTGCTTGTGAAGAGAAACAATAGCCAGAAGATAGACGCTGACCTCCACCAGATGTTAGTATATCATTGTATTCAGTGCAGTACATAATCAGTTACAAATAATTAACATTCAGGAAAAGATGTTGCCAACCAACAAGAATATTTTCAGGAGACCCATTTCCAATACAAGATAACTACTCCAACCACTATTAGTTTAAAATAATGATCCTTTCCATGATAGCAATCCTACTCCAGGCCAGACTAATTATCCAGAAGACATTTTCTACAAAATTTGCATTGAAAAAAACCCTTTTACAACACAAAGAGTGAAACGTTTGCTTGCTTTTTTTCCCATTCCCAGGAAACATGCATCAATTTCAGTTGGTCCTTTATATATTTCAATATAATTCTGACTTGAGCGAATATTTTTCAACGTCACAAGAAAATTCTGATTCCTAAGTGTCCACACATCTGGCAGTTTCATCTTATTGATCCATTTAGTGTCATCTGTACACTGTTGTACAAATTCCTCACCCGCTGATATACATGGTGAGATTAGAGATTTGTATCAGTGAACAAAAACATGAGTCTTGTCTTATCAGCAAATTTTACTGTTGTTAATGGTTTAATATTGTGTTATCGTTATTGGTAAGTTTTTGTAGCTATGGGAAGACAAGTATTATAACAGATATTGAACTTTTACTTTGAGGTCAAGGTCTTGGTGACCAAATGCAATGCACTGCACATTTTCAGGTGATACAAATAGACTGAAAGTTTCATCAGGACATCTTCAACAGTATAGAAATCTCCTTAACAAATAGCAACAGTGGAAAGCAGAAAGACAGCAGAAAAACCAAAAGCTAAAAGACAACAGAAAAACCATACTAGGATTCTCTAGCATTGCATAGCAGTGACGTCAAAGTTCTCTTTATTATTTTTGCAAATCGTTAATCATTTAATACCTTCTGACAGGAGATAAACTCATTTTATTTTAGATTTGAAACAACTACTCGATATTTATTTTTGTTTTCCTAGTTTTGCCGTTGACAGCCAACACTCCAAAACCAACAAGAAACCACACTTACGTTTTCTAAATTCTGTTTCCTGCTAGATTACTAACAATAATTGCATCTAAGTTGTCATGACAGTTATGTCATAATGAATCCTCTCATAACTCATAAAAACATAGAGTCATGGAATTTATAGTTCTATAAATGACATCAAAGTCAAGAGATAGTATTCACAATCCTGCGATAGGTAAATTCTGGAGAAATGGTATTCATGAAAAAATGAGCAACATTAACCTCTAATAATGGTATTCACAAAGTTATGACACACAAACAATGGCATTCATAGCTCTATGATTTTCAGTATATGGTTAGTATGACTACGATCAGTAAAACATGTTTACTTTGTACTTCACATAAACAGAATATTGCTGTACTTTTCTACACAGTAAAGTTTTTTTCATGATTATCAAATTCAATGTATACCCTTGTACTAAAAGTAAGGAATGATTTCCATTACAAAAAGTAAGCATCTCCATGGCCAGAAAAGATAAGACAATATGTCAGCCAACATTACCTCTGCTTGGATCATTTTGTTTTATGGTATTCACTGGTATTGTTTTGTTGTGTAGACAGGTGTTGTTTTGTTGTGTAAACAGGTGTTGTTTTGTTGTGTTGACAGGTAGTGTTATGTTGTGTTGTGTTGACTGGTATTGTTGTGTTGTGTAGACAGGTAGTGTTGTGTTGTGTTGTGTTAACAGGTGTTGTTTTGTTGTGTAGACAGGTAGTGTTGTGTTGACTGGTAGTGTTGTGTTGACTGGTAGTGTTTTGTTGTGTAGACAGGTAGTGCTGTGTTGTTTTCACAGGTATTGTTGTGTTGTATTCACAGGTAGTGTTGTGTTGTGTTGACTGGTATTGTTGTGTTGTGTTGACTGGTGTTGTCGTGTTGTGTTGACTGGTATTGTTGTGTTGTAATGACTGGTAGTGTTGTGTTGTCTGGTAGTGTTGTGTTGTCGGGTAGTGTTGTGTTGACTGGTAGTGTTGTGTAGACTGGTATTGTTGTGTTGACTGGTATTGTTGTGTTGTGTTGACTGGTAGTGTTGTGTTGTATTGACTGGTAGTGTTGTGTTGTATTGACTGGAAGTGTTGTGTTTACTGGTAGTGTTGTGTTGTGTTTACTGGTATTGTTGTGTTGTATTTACTGGTAGTGTTGTGTTGTCGGGTAGTGTTGTGTTGACTGGTAGTGTTGTGTAGACTGGTATTGTTGTGTTGACTGGTATTGTTGTGTTGTGTTGGCTGGTATTGTTGTGTTGTATTGACTGGTAGTGTTGTGTTGTCGGGTAGTGTTGTGTTGTCTGGTAGTGTTGTGTTTACTGGTAGTGTTGTGTTGTATTGACTGGTAGTGTTGTGTTGTATTCACAGGTAGTGTTGTGTTGTCTGGTAGTGTTGTGTTGTGTTTACTGGTATTGTTGTGTTGTATTTACTGGTAGTGTTGTATTGACTGGTAGTGTTGTGTTGTATTGACTGGTAGTGTTGTGTTGTCTGGTAGTGTTGTGTTGACTGGTAGTGTTGTGTTGTGTTGTCTGGTAGTGTTGTGTTGACTGGTATTGTTGTTGTGTGTTGACTGGTATTGTAGTGTTGTGTTGACTGGTATTGTTGTGTTGTATTTACTGGTAGTGTTGTGAAGACTGGTATTGTTGTGTTGTATTGACTGGTATTGTTGTGTTGTGTTTACTGGTATTGTTGTGTTGTGTAGACTGGTAGTGTTGTGTTGTATTGACTGGTATTGTTGTGTTGTGTTTACTGGTAGTGTTGTGTTGTGTTGACTGGTATTGTTGTGTTGGCTGGTATTGTTGTGTTGTGTTTACTGGTAGTGTTGTGTTGACTGGTATTGTTGTGTTGTGTTTACTGGTAGTGTTGCGTTTACTGGTATTGTTGTGTTGTGTTTACTGGTAGTGTTGTGTTGACTGGTATTGTTGTGTTGTGTTTACTGGTAGTGTGTTTACTGGTAGTGTTGTGTTGACTGGTATTGTTGTGTTGTGTTTACTGGTATTGTTGTGTTGTGTTGACTGGTAGTGTTGTGTTGACTGGTAGTGTTGTGTTGACTGGTATTGTTGTGTTGTATTGACTGGTAGTGTTGTGTTGTATTGACTGGTAGTGTTGTGTTGACTGGTATTGTTGTGTTGTGTTTACTGGTAGTGTTGCGTTTACTGGTATTGTTGTGTTGTGTTTACTGGTAGTGTTGTGTTGACTGGTATTGTTGTGTTGTGTTGACTGGTAGTGTTGTGTTGACTGGTATTGTTGTATTGACTGGTAGTGTTGTGTTGTGTTGACTGGTATTGTTGTTGTGTGTTGACTGGTAGTGTTGTGTTGTATTCACAGGTAGTGTTGTGTTGTGTTGACTGGTAGTGTTGTATTGACTGGTAGTTTTGTGTTGTGTTGACTGGTAGTGTTGTGTTTACTGGTAGTGTTGTGTTGACTGGTATTGTTGTGTTGTGTTTACTGGTATTGTTGTGTTGTGTTGACTGGTAGTGTTGTGTTGTGTAGTGTTGTGTTGACTGGTATTGTTGTGTTGTATTGACTGGTAGTGTTGTGTTGTATTGACTGGTAGTGTTGTGTTGACTGGTATTGTTGTGTTGTGTTTACTGGTAGTGTTGCGTTTACTGGTATTGTTGTGTTGTGTTTACTGGTAGTGTTGTGTTGTCGGGTATTGTTGTATTGACTGGTAGTGTTGTGTTGTGTTGACTGGTATTGTTGTGTTGTGTTGACTGGTAGTGTTGTGTTGACTGGTATTGTTGTATTGACTGGTAGTGTTGTGTTGTGTTGACTGGTATTGTTGTTGTGTGTTGACTGGTAGTGTTGTGTTGTATTCACAGGTATTGTTGTGTTGTATTCACAGGTAGTGTTGTGTTGTGTTGACTGGTAGTGTTGTATTGACTGGTAGTTTTGTGTTGTGTTGACTGGTAGTGTTGTGTTTACTGGTATTGTTGTGTTGACTGGTATTGTTGTGTTGTATTGACTGGTATTGTTGTGTTGTATTGTCTGGTAGTGTTGTGTTGACTGGTATTGTTGTGTTGTATTGACTGGTATATATCAGATCACCCTCTATATTCCTGTCTTTCCCCCCTATAAATTGGATTCACTCTCTATATTCCTGTCTTACCCCCTATAAATTGGATTCACTCTCTATATTCCTGTCTTACCCCTATAAATTGGATTCACACTCTATATTCCTGTCTTTCCCCCTATAAATTGGATTCACCCTCTATATTCCTGTCTTAACCCCTATAATTTAGATTAACACTCTACATTCCTGTCTTACTTCCTATAAATTGGATTTGCCCTCTATATTCCTGTCTTATCCCTATAAATTGGATTCACACTCTATATTCCTGTCTTACCCCTATAAATTGGATTCACACTCTATGTTCCTGTCTTTCCCCCTATAAATTGGATTCACACTCTATATTCCTGTCTTACTCCCTATAAATTGGATTTGCCCTCTATATTCCTGTCTTACCCCTATAAATTGGATTCACACTCTATATTCCTGTCTTACCCCCTATAAATTGGATTCACACTCTACATTCCTGTCTTACTCCCTATAAATTGGAGTTGCCCTCTATATTACAATATAATTAATTTTATAACAATTATATCCATTTTGTTATAAACATGTTTTACTGATACTGACAGAGGAAGATGTAGTTTTTTAACAGTACTTACCACACTTTTTTTTATTGATCACTGTAAATTTCGCCTGGATAACTATGAAGATAGTAGCGATGAGCATCAAGACACCTATGACAAATCCAACAATGGACAGTGCCTCGCCAGTACTTTCTATAAGGAAAAATGAGTGACAATGTATTCAAAGGAAAATCTACAAGTTACAGAGTGAGAGGACTGGAAAAATGTCAGTTTTTACATATTTACTTCACATTTGTTTTCCATCCTTAAAAATACTGGAAAAACAGGAAAAAGTAAAACATGTTTAGACTGATGATTACAAGGTTATTTTGGGAGATTCACAACAAATATCATCTACCTTAATTGAAACGTGACTGGGTGGGACAAAAGACATGAGTAACACATTACAATCCCAATGACAAGGCAGAACATAGAATGCTAAATAGCAGATATTTTTACCCTCTAATGCTTTATTAGTGGCTCCATGTGTCTAAACCACTCCATCAGTATTAAGGCTTTTCACAAATAAAACATCTCATCATTAACATTGGTTAATGAGAAAAAATCATGTAAAGACTGAAACAAAAAATTGACCCCTGTGACCTTGCATATGGGTCAAGGTCCTTTCTTCTCACAATCTCTATGAGCTTTCATTTCAGGATTCTGTCAGCTATAAGGTATGATTCTAGGCCTCTTGGTTCATAAGATATTATTTGACGGTTATATCAAATTTCAACCTTGTGACCTTGACTTTAGAGCAAAGTAATTTGTTTTGCATAATGTGACTGGATTAATTCAAGAAAACTTCTTGCTAAATTAACATCTAATGATGAATACATTGAATCTGTAATGCAGTATATACGGGCTGTAAGAAATGATAATCAGTTCTACAGGGTTAACCAGGGTGAATAAATGAATATATAATCAAACAGCTATCCAATACATATAAAAGGAAAATTGTTGATGGGTGAATATCTTTTGACTTGTCACTGAGCAAGGATCAAATTTGTACAATGATGAATCAGCTAAAATTGCTTAATGTGAGCAATTAATTGAATTAATTAATAGTGGCACCAAATTTTAGTACAATAGTTTCTAAAAAAATATATAAGCATACTGCTAAAATATCGCCATTTGTAATGATGAATGATTCCACCAAAAACCTTTCAAGAAATAGTCCAAGGTGGAAATCCAGCATGGCCACCTGTCAGCCATTTTGTTTGCCAATCACTTTCAATATCAAAACGGCAAAAGTAGGGAATAAAGGAAATTCGGAATTTCTCATGAAGAGTCAATAAAAATAATTCTTTGTCAAAATATAACACAACCACATATCAGCCATTTTGTTTTTCACAAACAGTTCCAAAATCAAAAGGACACAACTTGGGACCAAGGCAAACATTCACTGGAAATCAGTAATATCTGTTCAGAATTATCTGTACAGATAATTCACATCAAGTATTAAAAATATCATTCCATTTTTTTTTTTTTAAATTAATAAGCTCAAATTCAATTCTAAGGATGGCAGCCATCTTGAATTTTATTTTCACTCAAATCTTATCGATACCACATTCAACAAATGTACAGCAACTTACTCTGTGTATCAGATATTCCATAGCCAACTCCACAAAAAATAACGCTGATGACACCTATCACTGTAATAATTATAGCGGCCACATTGCTGTACTCCATGCCCCATACTTAAATGTAAAAAAATATCACAACATTTAACAAGCAACAAACGCATGACTGGTAATAAGTTCATGTAATCCTATGACTAATAAATCTGCCTCCCTGGTTACAGGCTGTACAGTTAGCCTAAGTGGCTAATTGATATAACATTACATAATGTACATCATTTCCAATTGATCACTGATTAATAATATTCTAAACTTTTGTTATTTACTATACCTCAGTGTTTATTTTTAATTTGTATGTATCAGATATATCAAATTATTTGGTGATGTCTGAAATATTGAGTAAATTATTATCAAGGGGTACCAATATCTAGTAGACAGAGATTATATTTCATTTAACTTAAAACTACCAATAAATACTGATATGTAAAAATGTTCACTTGATACTGAAACTTGAAAATCTTGAAATGAAAAGAATTTGCTCTCTCAGCTTGATTTTCAAGACTTCCCAAATAGATACTTATTTACTTTGAGTAGATTTATGGGCAAATATAACCTCCTCTACAGATAAGCTTCAATTGTAACATCATGAACTTGTATTAACAATTTGTACAACAATTTTAAAACAAGTACGTGTATTTCTAGAGTAATTCTAAATAGTATTTCTTACTGCAAGAAAATGTAAATACTTACTCTTATCTTTATCTGAAATAGAAATAAACAACAAATTGAGGAGTTATTATCATATTTTTAATATTTTAAGTTCCATGATCATTGCATTTACTTCGAAAAGTCCATCTAAATTACTGTATACATTATCTCAAAAATTGATATAAAGAAATAACTGATTTGTAGATCAATGCTCTTCACAGCCATTCATCTCAACATCCTACTAACCAAATATTTTCTAGGATGAACATGTACCTCTCAATCCTTTTCCAAAAAACCTCATCAAACATTTTTAAAAAGTTGCCAAACATTTCAAAAATGTTAGTGTAAACAACAATGTAAACTGCTATTTCAAAATTGTTTCACAATGGATTTTGGAAAAGACTATCTTAATGCCTAGCCATATACTTATTTATTTATCAAGTTCTGATCATTTATAGATATAACATAACTGTGCCTATTTCTACTACTAATATCTGGCCTATTTTGTCTGTGAAATGTCTGGCCATATTTTTTATGTTTCACGCCAAATTTGGTTGAAATCATTTACCGTAAGCATGAAGAAAGAGTTGCATTTTGAAGCAAACTATTGTTCAATTTCCCCATTAGGGGCCTTACCCTAAGTCCCTAGGGGTCGAATCAAATTTCTAAATTTAAAAAAATGATATCCCAACTACCATAATATTTCACACCAAAATTGATTGAAATTACCCAGACATTAAGAAGGAATAGCATTTTGAAGAAAAATATTGTCTAATTTTCCCATTTGGGGCCCTGCTCCAAATTACATGCCAACCCCTACTCATGTTACAGACAAAATTTGAATGAAATCCATCCAAGAATTAAGGAAGAGTAGAGGTTGGATCAAAGCAAAATATTGTGTAACTACCCTTTTGGGGCCCAATCCCTAGTCCCTAAGGGTCATATCAAATTTCTATATCGTGATGTCTCTGACCAAATTTGATTGAAATCCATTAAGGCATTAAGCAGAAGTAGTGTATTTAACGAAAGTTTACAGATGGCAGATGGCAATAGATATCTTTACCCTTTGGGTCAGATGATCTAAAAACTAGAATATTCACAATTTTTTGGTGCTTCATTTTATAAATCATTTGCCATTAATACCCTTAATGATAATGATATGTTAGAACATTTTCTTCAGGTTGGTAGAAGTTCTTATAACACAACCAAAGGAAGATTAGAGTGTGGCGTTTCCATGACTACACAATCAGCGTTTCCATGGGGATAATTGGTTTACTACTTACCCTTGGTAGTTACAACCACAAACCAACAGAGCGGCACGCAAATAACAAACAAAATTATGTCTGTGATCAGGAGCCCCACTGAAATCAGAAATAAAAGATTAAAATCGTAAAACACAATTAATTAGGTTATATAGATAAATATCACGGTTAGACCATCATAAACTCGAGTCCTGATTCAATTTACTGTAAAAGGCAATAATCCTATGTCTGATAATAAGCCCACCCATTTGTATTGCTGTTTGGTAAAATCTTATTGTCATGAAATAATCCCACTCCATGAATTTGAGTAAAAAGTAAAGTGCCTGGATTTTTTGCCACTGATTGTAGAATGTATGCAAAAAGATAGCATTCAAATTACAAAATGTACTGGAAAAAAATAGTGTTACATTTTGTTAAAATTCATGACAGTGATTATAACTTTACGCCAGTGGGACCCTTCCTTTTGTCCTCAGTGAAGACCGATTTGCCTGTTTAGTTTGTTAACACCTTTGTTTTGTCTACCTTGAGACTGTATCATGTCTTTTATATTTCACTGCTGACATATTAAAACAAAAAAAAAAATTGAATAAATTCAAAATTTCAATCTATTGTCAAAGCTTTGAATGAAAGAATGTATGGTTAGTATACTTACAGCTAACATCTGATTTTCCTCCTGAAATGATAAAAAAGAAAAAATCAGGTAAAGACTTATCCCACAACAATTTACAGCTATATAGATGTCACATGCTCCAACTATATTTGAAAGGACACATCATACAGTTAAATATACTGTTTCTCTGATGTATCAGAGCATTATAGATGCCGACATTTTTGCCCAATCATTCATCGATTCAGAAACAATGTACTGAATTTTAATGTAACATAATACAGAATGTCCCGCGGGCACTCTTACCATGTCCTGTTCCATCAACGACAGGATCTCTAAGAATCTAACATAATATCTCTAAAATATATCAGGTGATAAGCAACACAGCAAGATCTGTTCTGTAGTTTGGATTCATCTTCAACCAACTTTCAAAAGAAAATTCAAAATATTGAAGAGATTTTTCTAGGTTGTATTTCCTTCTTTTCTACTAGTACCAGTGAATACTTATGACTATGTATGGAGTGTAAGGATTATACCTGATTTTCCATACATCCACCTCTTTAAAAGGCATCTGTGTCTTAATGCTTCATATCTTTATGACTTTTGGATACGTTTTAAAAAAATTCAGTACCAGTCGCTAAATATTACATCTTCTCCCATACATCAACTGTTGATCTATCACACAATGATTGAATATTCAAAACTTAATCCCACACAGGATAAGGAAAAGACAACTAGCACGCTCTATGACATAATAGGGTTGAATCATAATTTTATATTGCATAACCATATCACAATTGAATGACATCACTAATGGTGTCACATATTTCATGTTGCTGACTTGCTGACCAGTCAATCATTGTCACTAGTGGAGATGAATGGAATCAAAAGTATGAGGCTGGAGATGGGGGATCTCAATCTGAGAGAAAAGATTAGTAAGTTAGTAGCCATAATAATCTTTACATGAGAGTAGAGATTCCCCTGCCACATCATCATGTGGGTAAATTTGAGGTTTTTCTTGTAAAACCAATTTTCATGATGTAATACTTACCATAACTTTAGTATGCATATCTCCCACTAATTCCCATTCATTTGTATATAATATAAACGACAAAAGCGAGATCCCAATAACCCCTCATAGGGAGCCCCTCTACCTGCCTGTAGTATCTACTCACGACCTGAGACACGTCCTTCTTTATCACTTATGCTACAGATGAAAGCGCAGGATAGAGAAGAAGGGGAGGCAAGATAATTTGTTTACAACAAAAAGAGGGTGGGACTCAATAAAGTTATGGTAAGTATTACATCATGAAAATTGGTAGAGGAGACTCTCACATCCCAGCGCCAATCCAATACAAGGCAGTAAGAAGGGCATATAATACCCAAGTGGGAAAATTCCATTGAAGGGCCAACTGCCTAACCCAAGGTCTTGCTATTCCAAAGCTCCTTAATAAGGCTGACAAGGAAGTAGATGTGCTGACTTCCTGCCTGCCATGGAAAGCAAGGACACTAGCTAGAGCAGAGCGATAGCCAGCTACAGTTCCAGGAGCAAGATTGTGGTCCCTGAATAAGTACAGGAGAAAATCCGCAATCACTGGAACAGTAGCCTGGAGTGGATCAATCTGCCTCTCACCACACCAATCACAGAAGATTCTCCACCTGGATTGGTAGATGGCAGAAGAGGAAGACCTGATTGATCTTGTGATGCTCTCTGACACCTCCTCAGAAAAGCCTGCCTGAGCGAGGCCTCTTGTGATAGCCTCCACACCTGAAGGTGGAGAATCTGAGGCCGAGAGTGCATCACATTGGACAGAGGCTGCCAAAGGAGGTCTCGACTGAGTGGCAGCCGCAAGGGCTGGTCCACCAGCAGAGACACTAACTCCGGAAACTGAGGCTGCCTCGGCCAAAGGGGGCAACCAAAAGAAGAGAACAATGATGTTCTCGAAACTTCTGGAGCACTCTGCTCACCAGATTGAACGGGGGGAACACATACGCATTCCACCCGTTCCAATCCAGAGAGAAAGCATCTACTGCCCAAGCCTGTGGATCGGGGACCGGAGAGACATAGGTCGGCAATTGAGAATTCAGTGCTGTGGCAAACAGATCTATGTGAGGTCTGTCCCAAGCCTGACAAACCACTTGGAACACCGTGGGTTTCAGCCGCCATTCTGTCAACACCGACTGACGATGCCTGGAAAGAGTGTCGGCAAGGACGTTCAAGCAACCCGGAAGATGCTTGACCTGAATAGACAAGTCCATCTCCCGGCAAAGCAGAAGCACCTTGATAGCCAGGGCACACAGTACATGTGATCTGGTGCCCCACTGCTTCTCCATATAAGCGACAACTGCGGAGTTGTCTGTCGCTAGACAAATGACCTGCGACTTCAGCACTTCCTGAAGGGACTTCAGAACCAGCAGGACTGCTCTCATCTCTAACACATTGATGTGTTCTGAGAGCTGTTCCCTGGACCACTCCCCTGATCAGATATGACCGGCCAGGTAAGCGCTCCACCCTGTTATGGAGGCATTCGTGTACAGGGTCATAGAGGGACTCGGCCTGAGGCAGGGAATTCCCACAAGGATGTTGTCTTGACAAGTCTACCAAGATGCAAAGTCCTTCACTGACTGGGTTATGGAAAGCATTGCTTCATAATCCCTTGAGCAGGGACCCAGTTGGAAAGAAGGAACATTTGCAAGGGCCTGATGTGCAGATGCCCCAATGGGACTACATCTGCCAGGGAGTTGAGATACCCCAGAAACCTGAGGAACCAACACACCTGAACCCAGGACATGTCCATGAAGGCTAGAGCCACTGTGTGAGAAAAGAGGCCAGACGCCCACCTACCAGAAGTTCTAGTAAGGGAACATCCAAACCTTGCTACACAGCGGACACGGGGCCTGAAGAAACCAGGTCAAGGTCTGGCAGACCCGAGACAGTTGGGAGTGGTACGGAGGGAAGAAGTGAGTCAGGAACTTAACTTCCCCTTGGGAGGAGGTTTCTTGCCTCCTTTCACCTTCTTCCCTTTGGCCTTGAAGGGAGTCTTAGACTTCTTCCCAGCAGAACGCTGCTTGGGATTCGACCTAGACCACTTCACAGCAGCCCTGCACCCAGTGAAGTGCTAGGACTACTGGACCCAGGCTTCTTGAAAAGAACGCCAGTGGCCATCTGGTCCTCCTTCAAGTCCTCGTCAGAAAGCCAATCCTCAGGCAGATCAGACAATCTGTACAAGGATACAGTTAAGAAATCAATATACGACAAGATATGCAGTGAGAGGCGCAACTTCCTCTCCACCTTGTGATGTTCCTTGGCTTGGAACACCACCTGGTCTACCACTTTCCCGGGCCAGGAAGAAAGATCCCTCGATTCCAGCTTGGCTGGGTGGGGAGACAACTTGCCATCGTGGATGGCATAATCAGTGGATCTAACCTCAAATAAATCTGTCATTCCGAGTTGCAACCCAGGAAACCCAGGAGCCTCCGCGACCGATGATGACGAAGGAGGTGGGCAATCCTTCTCGCCAAGGATGAAGGCAACATTCATGTGCAATGCACGAATGCCCAAAAGGAGGTCGGAAGCCTCAGCTACCACCTAATCCTCAGCCTCATCGGACGACTTGGGCTCGCCATCAGAAGGGGCACCATCTGAAGATGGGGCTTTTGATAGGAGGTCATTGACATCAGAGCACCCAGGTGTCAGATCCAAAACATCACACTCTACCATGCCTGAACCCTCAAAATCCATTGGCTCCGAGGTATCAGCATCCTGGGGATGGGAACGCTTAGCAGAGCATTTACCCACATTGGCCTTAGGGCATGCTGCGAACATGGATGCCATAAGTCCCTTGGAAGAAGGAGAGGGGATCGCCCGAGAAGCAGAAGTTCTACTAACATAGGCATCGGGCGGAAACGATCCCACTCTGAGCTGGGCTCCTCCTCCCAAGAACCAGACCAAGGCTGGGAGGGAGGGGCTACCCCCTTGACACCGACCAACTCCACTGAAACGGAGACGATGGGTCCAGAAACAAAGTCACCGTGGGCACCTTCCTTAGACAACCCAGTGGTAGACTTGTGCTTGCCCTTACCCCTTAATTAGTCCTGGTTGTTACATCCAAATACATGTATAGTGTAAGAAAACAAGATTTATTTGCAAGCATGTTAGATCATTTTCGGAATTATTCAAGGATGAGGGAAATGGATATAACAGCAGCTTTTTAACCACTGTGTGTGCTTATGAAAATCATTTTCTTATTAAAAAAAACCACATTATAAGTGATAACATTCCATTCATATTATATTTTCCCTCTGAAGAATTTTCAGTTTTTATTTTTTTCTCAAAGATATAATGTAAAATAAAGTAAGATTTAAAACTGTCTTAGTGAAGTGAAGAAAGTCTGACAGAAAACTCAAATTTGACCTTTCTTTCAGTAGTCTTTTGTTAAATAAAGTCTTTGTCGTTTAATTTTATCATGACCAATATTCATATTTTTTCTCATTTAATCTTAGTATTAATCTATGATGCCCTCCTAGCTCAAAGTTGATCTATGGACTGGTGTCTTTACAACAAGTAGGTATACATGTCCACAGAAAAGTGTTGAGCAGAAGAATCATAGCAAAATCAATGTTGAACAGAGAGAATTGGTTTTATGTCGTTTCTCACTGATATATCTGAAAATTTAAACCTGATGATTTTGCTCAGTAGATCTTTCATTGACCTGATGTATATAAACTCATTGGCCAACACAGTGAAAAGCTAATTATTGTATGAAAGACACAAAAACTCATTTTCATATAGAACTTGCATGATACATTCACTAGACAAAATAAAAAACAAACCCAGAAATATCAGCAATTTGTGGTTTTCACATAAATTCTGTGTTTTCGTAATGCAGAGTTATCTGCTCTTGTTAGCAGATATTGATTGTTACATCATTAGTTTGTTATATTAAATTAGTGAGAAAATGATGTTATTTTCTCATACATACTACACCGACATAGCAATTAAAAATACCTGCTCCCAAGAGCAGATAACTCTGAATTACGAAAATACAAAATACAGTAACATTGAGTTG